ATGTGAAGAACTGTGAACAATCAGAGCGTGTAAGTTTCCTTCCATGAACGGCAAACCTTAATATCAGCATCCCACGAAAACGCCACTTCAGCTGCACTTTTGTGTCGCACGTAGCGTATGCCCGTATTTATGGCGCCGCGCGGCCGCCCTCGCTTTGACCTGGCTTCCTCCCCTCTTGCCGATTGGCTGCCAGCTTCTCGGGATTCGGAAGCCACGTGGTGGCTGGCGATCACTGCAATGAGAAAATTGTGCTCTTGTTTCAGCCACTGGGATCGTGTTTGGACTAATGTAGTGGCGCCAGCGACATAATGTGTCTTTGTTTAATGCAAAGCACATTGCTGTGGAGGTTTATGTATTCTGAGCTCGTATTTATGATGTAGTTAGAACCCGCTAGAACGCGCTCGGGTGGCCGGTTGAATACCCTTTGCTCAGGGGGGGGGGGGGCAATGTAAACCTCTGAGATCTTAAAACCAGTGGAGCTAGAAACGCTCACAGGATGGCTTGGTGGGCATTTGAACTCACTTGTGACAAAATCTTAGGTTCCTAGGCGACCTGGGGTCAAATAAGTTCAGGCATCGTCAAACTCCATACTGGTGTGTGAGGAACCCCAGACCTCATGCAACCGCCTTGACCCGAATAACTGCCTAAGCAAAAGATCTCTGGTTTTGACACAAGGTCACTGACTTTTTTACCTTAAATAGGTTAAGGTGACCAAGAAACTACGAGATGGCTTCTATTTTGTCATTTGAATAAGTGCCGGGGACTACACTAGGCGATATGTTCATAAATCTTAAGCATTGACTTGGGTTATTTTCGGTCAGTAGCCCTCCGTGCCCTTTGAGAAGTTTATGGAACATGCCTGTTGCGGTCCCTGTTGTAAATAAATTCGAATTGAGCACCAACAATTATCCCATAATGCAAGGTCTTGAGTAATAAAGCACATTAGTTTTGGCCTCGGTCTGATCATCATACCCAACCCTAAGTCAATGGAATTTATTACAACTATCAATTCCTTTGTTCATTGCCTAGTAATTTGCCGTTCAGAGATATTTCTGGAAAAACCGGCGGGGGAGGGGAGGGCGTCAAATTGACCCCACCGCCACCCGAGCGCGTGTTAATGAGAATGTGTCGGCCCCCGCGTGCGATTAGCGGATTCGTGTGGGTTGCCGCCCGCCGTCCCCGCCGGCCACGCGTCGACGTGCAGTGATCCTAAATATCGTCACCACGCTTAAGCAATACAGGCAAGGAACATATTTTGTTGCGTCAAAACACGTGTAATAAATGTCAAATGTTTGTGTTTAAATAAATGTTTTATGTCAAAACACGTGAAATAAGTGTCTTAGAGGCTGTGAAAGATGGGCGCGTGATTATCCGACACACGGAAGAGATGTCCTCAGAAAAAATGGGGGAGGGGTGTAATGCCCGCACCATCGGAGCGAGAGTTGAACACAAAACACTTGAATTGAGCAGAGTTAAACAAAACAGAGTTGAGCCCAAAGCCCAACGTGTCACATATTTATGTCGTGCCGAGTCATGTTTGAAATGAAACGGTACGCTACAGGCAAGGCTCAGCATATAAATAAACGCTACCATCAAAGTAGCATAAGACCACATGTATACACAGGCGTACAAATAGACATAAACGCATGCACACCACATGTTTATCTACAGTCAGCAGCGCTTCCCTGACATCCAGAACATCGCCACCTCATTTTTAAGAGCGTCTAAAACAACATTTCGCGCAACTTACGCGCCAGTGGGCTTTCAACTTGCGAGAAAATGCACCCAATACAATCAAAACTTGAGTGACGGTCGCCTGGATGGAGACCACCTGATGTCCGAGAGAGCGGCAGCGGCCCGCCCGAGAGGGATGGCCGCCTGGCTGAAGATCGCCTGGTGTCCGAGAGAGCGGCAGCGGCCCGCCCGAGAGGGGTGGCCGCCTGGCTGAAGATCGCCCGGTGTCCGAGTGGGTGACAGCGGCCCTCCCGAGAGGGGTGGCCGCCTGGCTGAAGATCGTCCGATGTCCGAGAGAGCGGCAGCGGCCCACCCGAGAGGGCGGCTACCTGGCTGAAGATCGCCCGGTGTCCGAGTGAGTGACAGCGGCCCGCCCGATAGGGGCGGCCGCCTGGCTGAAGATCGCCAGATGTCCGAGAGAGCGGCAGCGGCCCGCCCGAGAGGGGCGGCCGCCTGCCTGAAGATCGCCCGATGTCCGAGAGAGCGGCAGTGGCCCGCCAGAGAGGGGCGGGCCGCTCACACACGGATGCTGACATCCGGTCTGCCAAACCATCCGTACGATTTGACTTGTGGACTTGTTTAACGCCCAACGCCTTGACGCCTTGACTTATTTAAATGCGGAATCTAGGGTAAACATTGTTCTTTGAAGAATGATATTCGATAAAGAATCTGTTCCTTAGTCAAAGACCAACTCTGACACCGCCAACTGGCACAACATGAAATCATCAAAAGCCAAGAAATAAAGCAAAACCAATAAGAGCCATATGCCTGGATCCTTCAAAACGCAGCTGTGTACCCTGAGGATACATCCTCTCGCTTGACCATGTAGGACCAGGAATCCCTCTTCTGGATTATAAATAGCTGTGCTCATACCAAGATGACTAAAGCTCTGTGTGTCGAAGGTATTTGTGCAGGTGGTGGGAGGTTACAAATCACAGCAGCTGGCAAACAATGCAATGAGGAGATGCGCATACGTCGCGTGCACCGAACGCTTTATGGTCACAGCGATTTAATGGCATGTCCATGGCAAAGCCACATTATAGGAGTGCTCAGAAGACGATATTTGTAAATGCTGGCGGCAGACAGAAAGGCTGCGTGACACAGCTAGTCTGAAATGTTTTGATCTATCGATAGCTCGCGTTCGATTTCTATCTACCCACTAACCATGAGAGGTGACCGAAAGTGCTCCCACCACTAACCATCGCGACTCTGAGAACTATGTTTCAACATCCAAAACAAAGGCTAAGTCGCGACACTCCCTGCTAAGAAGGTGAAAGAAATCAGCAAACGGAATAAATCAAAACCCACAAGCGTGATCAGATCCTAAGGGAAAATACTAAGTTACAACTAAACTAAGAGTGGTACAACTCATAAGTGCTTCATGCAACGAGGACAAAGTTAGTGTAGCCAATGCTAAAGTAAAATCACAAACAGTACACCAACACCTAGGCTATTGAGCACTGCAGACCATCAACACTTGGTCATGACTGTCAGACCCTGCTTTCCGGCTGGCTACGTCTGCCACTGCTGACCCTGGTCTCTGTGTCACGTGACGACCCGAGGCACGGCGGTCGGCGATGAGGGGTGAGGCAGGTTGGCTAATACAAGTTTGGTCACGCGGCACCTGGCGTATGACTGGGCCCGCTCGCCGACGACCGCGACATGGTGGCAGCGACGGGAGTGTCATCTTGTGTTGATCCCGGACAACGGCAGGGGTCTAAAGACGCCAGAGGACGTCCCAGAGCACGCGCCGACGGTGAGGGTTTCTTTAACAGAGTTCCCGATTGACGACAGCTCAGCGTTACTAGACGCGTTCATCCGGCGCGCTTGGCGGAACTGGAAGGCATCCCTGCCGACAACCTCGCCGGCATCATGGTGACGAGATGCCGCGGGCTCGCGATGAAGGTTGTGGACAGCGCTGGCGAGCCGCACAATGTGGCGCCACTTCTCACTGAAGTTTACGGGTCTGCGCGGCCCGAAACAGCAGCTGCTCACCTGAGCACCGTGCAAAAAGGCAGAATGATGAGTGGCATATTATATAAAACAGTTCAATTTCACAAGTGCTATTTTTTCTTCAGCATACCACAGCGATGAATGACCAGTCTACAACATATGTTTGACTTGCACGCGTAAAATTGCGTAACACTAAATTATATCATTATCAGCCGCAAGCGACGAATCACTTCTCCCTTACAGCCTGAAGGCTTGATTTAATCCCAAGTCGTTGAATTCCCCATAGTGGCATAAACACATGAGGTGTGTGTGT